TCCTGCTGATTCTTGATACCTCAAGTCAATTAAAAAAGAATCAATACATGTGGATTGCACACCTAGAAGAAGTGGGTTCCTTCATGGGTTGAAGATGGACATTCTTAGAATTTGGGGTCTTGTTGGCAAATGGATTTGGCCCCTTGACAGAAGGCCGCGTTGTCCATGTCTTCAGCACCCAGAGGGGTTGGCCCTGGCCGATGACAGTGCCACACAGCTCACTTGCCCTCTGCGCAAGCGCCAGCATAGCTGTGGCCTCCCTGGGGTTTGGGAGTTTCATAGTGGAGGAGGAGGACTTCATCAAGTTTTGTTCAGTGGCTTGAAATTTACTCTTGTGCTCATTGCGAATGGATCGAGCCCTTAATGAATTCTGTCCTTGACTCTGTCTTACTTATCTTTTAACAGCTCCCTGGCACATACTAAGCAATTAATAAATGGCTGCTATTTTTAGGATTATGATTAAATAGATGCCTCCACAAACAAATTCTTTGTCTCTGCCTTTTCTCATGCTCCAGACAGAGGTTCCCAGCTGTCCACTGGATGTCATACACATTTGCATCTCTGCCCGTGCCATAGATTCTGCCAAGCATGCTTTTCCATCCCCTTCTCCTCTTATTAAAATCCTGTTCACACATTTAGGGTCAGGCTGATGCCTCCTCCTGGCATGAAATTTCCCTCTTTGGAGCTGGTTACCTCTTCCTCTGTACTCTGCGTGGTTTCCATGTACCACCCCCTGCCCCGCATAGTAAGCTAACTGTTACCCTGTAATGACTTCAGGTGTTTACATGCCCATCTCTAAATCCCCCTCTTGAAGGTAGTGAAGACTGTTCAAAACATTTATGATGCCCACTGTGCTGGCTGTCACAGAAACTTGCATGTAGTTCAGTTAATCCATGTTTGTCTGATTTAAGCTATGATAGAAATTCCAAAACCACCAGCTCTTAACTGAACTTTTTCTGTAAGAGTAGAGCAAGGGCCACGGAGCCCTGGCTGCACATTCCAGAAGCATCTTCTCTGTTTAGCCGCTGGGCTCTGGGCATCTGCTGTGGACTCTGGGCTCAGGGCAAACAAATGACTGTGATGTTGGACTCCAGCTGGTTGAATTCCTTGTTGTATTTGCAGAGATCTCAAGGAATCATAATGATAATTCACAGAATTATTATTATTATGGTCAAAAGTTAGAGGTCCATATTTCCTTTTGGGGTCCTGCAAGCCACATGTTTTCTCAAAAATGAAATAATAAAGAGAAGAGGAATGATTCTTATCCATGTAATTTGCCTTTGCTTTTGTGAAAGGGAGAGCCGTGAAGCAGCGGGGTAACCAGCTTCTGAGTGCCTCAGTTTCCTCATCTGTAAAATAGGATAATTGTACCCACAGTCACGGGATCTTGTGAGGATTAAATGAGTTTACAAAGTGTTCAATAACTAGGCTTTTATTATAATATATATATATATATATATACACTCAATAAATGTTAGCAATTTTTATTTTATTACTATTATGCACAGATCAACTTGTCCAATAAATAATCTTTTTGATGTTGCAAGCACTACAGAGATATAAATCCTCAAGTTCACCTAAGCTACTTTTCAGTCTGAAGAGATTCGAGAAACATTTCAAGAAATATCAATAATCTCAAACCTTTTTTTTTTTGCGGTACGCGGGCCTCCCACTGCTGTGGCCTCTCCCGTTGCAGAGCACAGGCTCCGGATGCGCAGGCTCAGCGGCCATGGCTCACGGGCCCAGCCGCTCCGCAGCATGTGGGATCTTCCCGGACCGGGGCACGAACCCGTGTCCCCTGCATCGGCAGGCGGACTCTCAACCACTGCGCCACCAGGGAAGCCCTCAAACCTTTTCCTTTTAGCACCAACTTTATAATACTCGTGTTGTCGTACGTAGCCATCCCTGCCTTCCACATCTACGTAGTGTCGGGTTTACTGTAGCGCAGTAACATCTTAGTTGACCTCCACAGTTGATTAAAAAATATTAAAAACTAAGTAACATCTTGGTTGACCTCCACAGTTGATTAAAAAATATTAAAAACTAAGTGTGAATGGAAAGGAATAGACCTACTGCTTACTCCTGCAGTGCTGCAATTCTTGGGGGCTGAAAATTAGTTACAGGGTTATTATAAGGCAATTAACCCAACAGTGCTTTTCTTTCTGCCTCACATTTCAAAGGAACATGTGCCCAAAGGGCCTTCGTCTCCTTTGAGGATCTTGACATTGTCACTTTCTATCCAAGTGCAAAACTGTGACAATACCTCCTGCCCCAGCCACCAAGAGAAACATGTAGAGACACGTTGCAGTTGAAAAGGGAGAATGGCCCCTTTATGGTGACTGGCTTGGAATTATAAATATTTTTACTTCTCCCATAGGAGATGGCTCGTGGAAGAGAGGAGACAAACACGACTTTGAAGCTAAGCAAGCGTACTCATCCCTCCAAACAATCACTCTACTGAGGACAGTGAAACCTGAGTTTGAGAAGTTTTCCATGGAGGTGAAAAGTTCTGTTGAGAAGCAAGGGCTCAGTGAGGAGGATTACGTAAGTAACTGATTATGAGTCTAGACCTTCGCATCCTGAAAACAGTCTTCGAATTAAATCAGGTGTGATAAAGCGTCCTGTTCTGAACCATTCCTAGGTTCTCGTCTGAATGTCACTGTTGCTTCCTGTGTGTGTTTTTTTTTTTCTGGCCAGCTCTCCCCCCTCCTCCCCAGCAGGCGCCCATCACCCCACGCTTCACTTACACTTTGCCAGCTGCTGAAGGAAGGGAAATTGCTTTCTGTGGGTACTTGTGGTCATGCTGAGCAGAGATCTGGAGACTTCCATCACCTATTCTGCTAGGAGCGTGTTGGGGCAGAAGACGGATGAAGGATTGCCAAAGTTTTGCATGCCTGATTTTTCCAGAGCTTGGTGGAGGAAGGTATTTTGGATTTTAGGAGGCTCCTTCTTTTGGCAATCTGTCTTAGCTTCGTGGCCAGTCTGCTTCTCTCTTTTGTGGCCGTGTTGTCGCCTCCTTCTGCTGCAGGCTGTTCCCTACTGAAGTATTCCAGAGTGTTGCACACCGTTAGTGAGGTTGTTATTCATGCCTCTTCCAAGAGTGGACTGGAGTCAGGAGCTCAGGCCAGGCTCAGGATTAAGTAGAGGGACATCTAGCTGTGTGACCTGGGGCAGATTCCTCGGTCTCCCTCATTCAGATGAGGATGGGAGGGTTACAGATAATCTAGCTGAAGTCTTTAGCACTGTCAGGTCAAAAAGTTGGAGCTCAACGAATGGTGCCTCTTTTGTACTATTGTTATAAGATCATGCCTGTCTTTACAGGAATTTGCTACTAAACGACATACAAAGGGTCTTATAAACATGTATTAATGTCTTAAATGCGATTTATATATTATACACATAACATTTAAAATACCTTTTGACTTTCTAAATTAACACTGTCTTCTAGATATGTAATGTGAGCCACAAATGTAATTAAAAAGTTTTTAGTAGCCACATTAGAAAAAGTTGAAAAAAACAGGTGAAATTAATTTTAATAATACATTTTATTTCACTTAAATAGAAAAAAATCATTTCAACATTTAATCAATGTAAAATTATGACGGAGATTGTATTTTTTTTTTCTTGTATGAAGTCTTTGAAATCCAGTGTGTATTTTACCCTTACAGAGTATCTTAATTCAGTTCAGGTGCTCAGTAGCGATAAGTGACCAGTGGCTGTCATGTTGGACAGGATGTTCTTAATTATGAAATAAGTAGAGCCCAAGTTTGCAGAAACCTATGATAGTATTGTCATCATCTGAATCTTTTGCCTCAGGAATGTGAGAAGACACAAAGGGCATTATAGTTCTCTTCAGTAGTTCTGCCAGAGGTGGCCTGTGTCAATATTGAAAACATCCAAGTCTTTTACCTATGCCACTGTATGTTATTTTACTTTACTGGGTTCATATTAATTTTCTGGTTTAAAAACCCAGAAATGGTGTCATTTTGTCTGACCTCTTTCCTAAGGTTGTTGAAGTTCAAGTATTTCAGTACAGGTCGTCCAACGTGATGATACTTAGTGGGCAAAAGTTGGCGTTCCATGGCACTATCAGGTACATCTTCTTGGTCATTAGTTATCCTGTGTTCAGAATATTAAATCTTATTTTAATGGTAGTCTAGGCAAAATCTCCCTGGAAGGTGTACCTACTACAAAGATCCATAATACATTCCAAATCAAATACTGTAGCTTTAGAGATTATTTGTAGCTGTAGATTACAGTGTCGCTTCCCTCTGATGGTGGGATCATTAAAACAGATTTTATACATAAATAAAGATGATAATGTAGAAATTGGAGCTCCTCATAATGACTTATTCTGTCTTTCGTAATTATGTGTGTTTTAGCTGTGCTCTTTTGAGTGCCACTGCAGCTGTTTATCAGGTTAGTTTAGACAGGTGGTTGTGGTGAGTATCGTGGAAGAGGGAGATACGGGGCCTCGCAGAGGCTGGAGCTTGATCTCCTGCAGCGGGAGATGCTGGAGCGGAGTAGTAACAAGACTTGGTGGTCTTCATCCTAAGCCTCAGCTCTTTCCTCATTCTTGCTGCTTCTCTTGTTTGTACTAATGGGTTGTCTCATCTACTTAGAATTTCTGTTAGTGACACCCATCATGAGCTCTTCAGTCCTTGTTACTGGATCTCAAATCCAGCAACTTCGGTGGACTCTATTCTAAAGTTTTACCATGCCTTTTCAAAACAACCACAAGACCTGTGAACAGTAACAGTTTTGTTTCTTTTCAGTTCTTCTTTTAAGTATGCTTAATTAAGAGATATTTAATTACATTGTCTATTAAATTAAGTATAATTAATTCAATTAAAACTTTTAATGATACTGGCTAGGATCCCAATACAGTATTGAATATAAGTAGTGGTAGTGGGCATCCTTGCCTTGTTCTGAACTTTAAAGTGAAGAGCATATAACAGATTTCATATCTGTTCATATCACTATTTAAGTGTGATGTTTACTGTGGGGTTTTGGGGAA